TTCAGCTGGATTTTTATCCGGCTTCAAAATTGGAACAACTTTTGCATTTTTCCATTTATCAGGAAAGTATGCCAAATGGAAACATCTGTTAAATAATTTTACCAAGAAAGACAAGGTACTCTCTGGGAGTTTTTTGATGAGGATATAGAAAATTCCATCATCACCTGGAGCTTTCATATTTTGAAACTTTTTAGTTATAGTCCTTACTTCGTCCAAATCAGTCCCCCAGGAATCATCAAACATATTTTCCCGAGAGAAAATATTCAGAAAATCCCGAGCAACCTGATTCTCAATAGGACTAGTAAGACCCAAACTGAAATTATGGGAACTCTCGAATTGCTTAGCAAGTTTCTGAGCTTTTTCCAAATTTGTGATCAAAATTTTACCACCTTCTTTAAGCGCTGGAATAGGCTTTTGAGGTTTTTTCAAATTTTTTGTGAGTTTCCAAAAGGGTTTGGAACTCGGGTCTAATTTAGAAATATTATTTTCAAAAGTTTTGTTCCTCAGGGCAGAGAGTCGCTTTTTAATTTGTTTTTGCAAATCCCGCCAGATAACCTTCATGGCAGGATCGCGTGTTCTTTGATATTGTCTCCTACGGACATTTTTAAGACGGATCAAGAGCTGAAGATCGTCGTCTATTATAATTGAATCGAATTTAACCTCGCATTTTGGTACTGAGGCAGCTCTTGCTGCAACTATAGAAGTAGTCAGAGATTCAAGAGCATAATTAATTTCATCTTTGGTTTGCAAAGGAATGTTTGGATCGAAGTTATATTCCATAAATGTTCGATATTGCTCCCAATCAGCTGTATGGTAATTGAAAGTAGAGCTGTTGGGATTACAAATTATTTCTTGGGATATTTCAAAAGTTACTGGAAGGTGATCAGAACCGAAGTCAGCATGGGTAACCAGTTGGCTACAAAGTTGGCATGAATCAGTTAAGACCAAATCAATAGTGGAGGGATTTCTTGCAGAAGAAAAGCATGTTGGGTTGTTTGGATATTGAATAGTGTAATAACCTGCAGAACAATCATCAAACAGAATATTACCATTGGAATTGCTTTGAGCATTATTCCATGAGCGGTGTTTTGCATTAAAATCACCAATAATGAAGAATTTAGACCTATGACGGGTAAGTTTCTGGAGGTCACCCTTGAGAAAATTCTTTTTCTTGCCTACGCATTGGAATGGCAAATAGGCAGCTATAAACGTAAGTTGTCCAAATTTTGTTTCAACAGAAACTCCCAAAGTTTCAAAAACTTTGGTTTCAAATGAAGAAAGAATTTTATGTTTGATTCGCCTATGAATAATGATGGCAACGCCACCACAGGGTCCATCAAGACGATCATTTCTATAAATCAAGTAATTTGCGTCCTTCTTAACCTTATGGTCAGGTTTAAGGAACGTTTCAGTTATAACGGCAATATGCACGTTATGTACTCTCAAAAAGTTAAATAGCTCGTCTTCATTATCTTTAAAAGATCGAGCATTCCAATTTACAATATTTAATGCTTTAAAATCCATTACTGAATTTTAAAGTCATGACAATATTGTTCGCAAATTTTACTCTAGTTTGAATAGCATCAAACATGGAGTTAGATTTAAGCATATCAGAAATCATGTCAATTAATTAATTCTGTAAAAATTCTATTTTAGGGACAGTAATGCTTCCTAAGTCAAAATTGTCAAAATTTCCGTTAGAACATTGGTTAGTATTTTGATTTCTACCCGGTGCAATAGCAGCATAGGTAGCTCCATTAACTCGCTGAACATTGTTAGCAGCGAGGGGAGTAGGTACAGATGGAAAATTTGAAGCAGGGGTGATATTTGTACCTACGGGTACGAATGTAGAATTTGTTCCTCGCTGACCGTTGTTAACAGCAGTGGAATTTGTACCTGGTCGGAAACGTGGAGCGTTTCCTACCTGTCGGTTAGAACGAGATTGTAGGATCGCTTTGCGAGTCTTACATTCCCAAAAATTGGATTTGTGGTTTTCACCACAATTTGAACATTTAAATTTCTTAGGATCTTCCTTCACAGCAGTCGTCCTTTGCGTGAGAGGAATCACCACAATTCATGCATTTAGCTGGCATGTAGCAATTTTTAGTTCCGTGACCCCATCCCTGGCACTTACGACACTGAGTGAGGTTTTGGAAATTTCCTCCAGTCTTCCTGAAGTGTTTCCACTTCACTCGGACATGGAGCATAAGGCTAGCTTTTTCCGTCAGCACGTTTATTCTTCCGTGATGGTACCCAGTACTTGTTTTGAATGACTGAGTTTCTGTGGAAAAATGCCCCTACATGCTGTGTGAGTAAACACAAGTGGTATGAAACGTCTGTTCGTTAGTGACTGAATGTTTTTGTTGGCTCTTTCATTGCCTCGTCCTTTATGGGGTGTTTACATCTGTGCGAATTTGCTAGCGCTAGTGTACTCGCCAACTAGCACAAATTTCAGTTGCTCCTGAAATTTCATCTTGTAGACGCTGATGCCCTGTTTACATTATGCTAGTGAGCTTTTTTGCTAGCAGCTAGCTCATTAGCGCTAGTGATATAGCATAAGTGTAAACACCCCATTTCCGTTTGGTATAAACGGTCTGCACCAAGTGGAGACAACTGGCTTCTTACTCTTTAATCTCTATCTCTATCTCGATCTTACGCACTGCAAATCGGCCAATAACGAGCTGGTTCGCGTTTGACAGAAGAGTGGTTCGTTTTCGCCCCCGTATTGTCTACTCTTCTCTTAGGGTCTGCAAAGAGCAATGGATTGAATAGTGCAGTGCTTTCACACTCAACCTAAGCAGTCAATAATTTTACGCTCTGGCTCTTCCCCCGTTGGCGATACTGCAATAAATTGATACCACTGCGTCGAATTACTTTCCCTGAAACGGTAATATCTAGAACCATTTTCTGCGGATTGTCGTCCGACATTTTAAAGACGCGACCAGCCCACCGTAGTCGTCCGATTTTTGCAGCGTGGAAAATGAGTGGTTCAACATTTCGTCTTCGGTTTATACAGAATAGTGAATTACTGTGACATTCCCCAACATTAATTTCGTGATCCAGAATCGATCCCGGTGAGGATTTGAATCTCAATTTATGTTAAAAGTTTCTGTAGCCAATTTTAAGAATGATGGTAAAAATTAAGGGGTGGACATAGGGGATTCCACAAAGATATTTGCAACGAAATCACTTGGAAAATGATTTTAAATTTCGCAAATTTCTGTGAAAGAAATCAAATTCCGCAGATTTTATCTGCGGATCCGTAGATCCTGAGAAATGCATCAATCCCATAAATATACAGGTTTTCCATGACAGGGGCTTCTGTTACTTATTGGGGATTCTCTTTACTTTCATCCTTAAGTTCACGAAAACTCATTTTAATGTGTATAATCCCGAGCAAAGTCCAGCATCAAAATGACAGCAAATTGAAATCAGATTTTGATATCAACATCGAACTGAAATCATAATTTGATTTCAGTTTACGCAATTGACAAATTTGAAACTAAATTCTGTTTTCATGTTGCTGTACATTTGCTCTTCAAAAATATGTTGTTGCGGGTTTGTTTTCATTGCCTTAGCATAATATCAAATTGAATTCTTGTTTAGTTATCAATAAGAAAAATGGATATCAAATTGAGTTTTCAGTTTGCTCTCATTGATAGCAGAAATTGTTTTTAATTTGATGTCACAGGAATATTTTTTTGCTCTCTTTGATATTTTAGCCGTTAAAACGACCAAAACGACAGCAACCTGAGTAATCATTATCAGTGATTTTCACTGATTAAGATTTCAATTTGATCCCAGACTTTGCTCGGGATGGTATTCGAATTATTTATTCTTCATTCTGTGATAAGTTATCAATAGTTATGACTGTTTTATATTTAATCTATTAGTCACTTTAGTCAGTTTTATTTTAATCAAGCACTGAAAGTACAGGGGGCATCACTATTTCCAGCAATTTCAAATCAATTATGAATCATCTTCGCCAACCAAAAATAAAGCAAATCTATTACACTATTCAAACTTTCATTGGTTTTAAAATTATGTGTGCTTGTAAAAACGAACCGTTGTGTAAATGTAACTTTCTATTGAAATTCATCACTATATGTAGTTTAATTTATCGGAATGGTAAGCAAGAAACCGTAAAGAGGGAATCGCAATCTAATCGAAGCTTGGCAAACGAATGAATTATCGAAGGAAAATTGTATGGAAAATAAAGCAAATCTGAACAAATAGAAAAACACAACAACAAGAGATAAACAAGACATGAAAGTATTACATTCGAGGAAGAATTATGCGTACAATACAATATTATACATATATTTTTATACAAATATCTATACTTTATCGCGTATATTTTGTAAGTATATTGTAGTAGCAACACGAGCGAGGGAGAACGTTTGCCGGAGCGTAGAAGGATCGGAGAGTTATCAAGCGTATAAATGGGAATAAAAAGCATATTATTATGATTGTTGGTTTGCAAACATTCCCGGTCGCCAATATTTTTTTTTGTACTTATTTAGCTTACTTAAGGAAAAGAAAGTTCGTTTGAATTGTCATGGCGAGGAAAACGATATCAACTCTCGTGGGTTATAAAATTAAAAAAAAAAAAACAGCGCAAAATGACATAACGCAACAAGATCGCATTCACCGTCAATGCTGAATGTAAGAAAACGTACTAGAATAGAAAGTGTTTTAAAGTTGCCAACGGACAGAAACGGACAGCGCAAATGTTTTAGAAATAAATGAATAATAACGGGAAAAAAGCGACAACAGCAGTTCTGCGCGCATTCGAAAATGGCAAGTCAGAAAGCGAATTCAAAAAAAAAAACAATATTTTTAGGATTTTACTGATTTATTGAACAAGTGTAACCTGTAAGGTGAACCCAAAATAATATATACGATAAATTTGTGCTTTTTCTTACAGATTTTGATGGATTTCTCTTTTGTTTCCTATTCGAAGAAATGATGACTGCCCCATTTGGCTTTCTTTTGGATTCGGTTCAAATAATTTATTTAACATTCCGATTTTTGTGCCAACTTTCAACGAATGAAAAGGGTCGGGGAAGGTTTAAAATGCAGCTTAAAACGTTTGGCGTTGAGTAAAATGTGATTTTTTTATTGTTATGTTAAAAGCGTTTTAAAAGATTTGGTTTTCCAAAATCTTGAAGATGTGAATTTGATTAACACCTAACATGTTCGATAACGATAGTTTATGAGCTAGTTTTTTTTTCCGTGAAAGAATAACTTAATTTTTGTTGCTAATGTTCAAAACATAACAATTTGACTAGCTTTGAAAGCGAATATCGATGAGTAATGATGAAGTTTGTTTTACGAATAAATAATTTAGCACAATGCCAATTTAACTAGAATCACTAATACAGTTTTAGAAACTGAACGATCTCTTGAACAATCAACTCATACAGTGGTGTCAAACATAAACTGACTTTTGTTTTTGTTTCTCATTAGCTTTGATTTATCGAATAATCATTGATACTGATAGTATTCAAAGTATTGCACAAGAGGTAAGGAACACAGTTCAAGGTAGAGATATATAATATTTTGGAGGGTAATTGGGCAAGTAAAACACTGATGGGAAGATACTTATACGTTTTGCTTCATTTCCTGTTTGAGGCAGTGTTTGAAGGCCTCCCAGCCTTCGGATTTCACGTTCGACTGAAAATAAGGGAAAATTATGAATTAGAACTCAAGTAAGTGCATAATTTAATTTACATTTTGGAATTATCTGTATATTTTTTTTAAAATTCTTACCTGTCACAACCCAACATCGAATGTACACAGCGACAGGACATGAACGGACATTAACACATATCAAGTAAAGACAAACATGTAGCCATATAGTGTAGGTTAGAGAGGGTCTACGATAGAGAGGAGCGGACTGACTGATTTGAGCCAAACGAACTGTCAAACCCAGAGCCAATCAAGCAGGGATGCATTGGCAGTGCAGCTAGCAACAGTCTAGGCATCGTTTGTCAAGGCAGTTTGTTTTGAATCCACTCCTCTCTTATCTTAGATCCTCTCTAGTGTAGGTTTATGCAGAGGAAGTGAATTTGAATTTCAAGAAAGCCGGTACTGTCAAAACTGAAAAAAAAAATAACTTGATTGTGAAGTTTTGGTTTCAATTTTGAAGCCGAATAAATACGCCAAATGGATTGTTCTTGTGCTTATTTTTTATTACAGTATGAATGTATATTATGTATATAGGTTATGATACTAACGAAAACTATTAAGTAATTCAGTTTAGACACATGTCAGTGTGGCACACATAGCAATCAAATTAACTAGTGCAGGAAAAAAGGAGGGATAGTAACATTTAGAATACACTACTTACCGTGTTGATTTAATGTATCTTTGCGAAAAAGAGAGTAGGCATGAAGTTGTGCATTGGTGACTTGATTGTTCGACAGTAAAGGCCGGCGCACAATAGATACGTTTTCGGGTTTTTTGACAGATAATGCATGGGCTAACTGTCAAAAAACCTGAAAACGTATCTATTGTGCGCCGGGCTTAAGTTGTAAAAAAGTAGCTCAATCGATACCTCAATTGAGTTTTTTCCTGTTCTATTTGATTATTTCAAACAAGCAACATAGTAGTCTCCTAAATTATTGATGAATCTACGCGAAACTGCACCAGTGCCTGCGACACCTAGGTTTGAAATCCAAAACCACAAAAGTGATGATGTACTACAAAATATTCCATACGATTTGACAGCTAGCAAAACGTCATTACCATTTTCACATCATTTCCATCTGCTGGCCGATCGTAACGTAGATTCATCAATAGCAAGATACATAAATTGTATGGGCTAAAAGATGTCAAATTACACTGAGAAAAAATACATGAAATCAAATTACACCGAGTAAAAATGCATTTCTACCCCGATGAAGTTCATCAGCTGTTCATCCGATGTATGTTGTTGTTTACTTATTGCTCAACAAGTTTGTGTGCGCAAAGTGCTTTTTTTGACAAAATCATCAAAACGCGAGGCGTAAAAGCCGGAAAAGCGTAAACAGATCGATTTTTAAATATTTTTTTTTACTACAATCGTTGTATTCGACGCTATTCGAGATATTAGGCCGACTAACTAACAGTGATATTTATACGGTAAACCGAAAATTTAACCAAATCCATAATTGATTGATATTCGGCAGGCCGAATATTCGGTATATCTTTACTGCGTATTATACTCAAGGTAAGTAGACATTCGTTATCAAGGTGGAACCAATTTGTTGTTTATTATGAATATGAATATGAAATCATAAGACTCAATCGAATTAACATTACAGAGCCGATGATTCTTGGTCACTATACAATACATCTTAAAACTATAGTCAAAAGGTACAACACAATAAACACTGTATCTTCCGCTATCCAAAAAGCCTCCTCCATCAGAACGGAAGCCGCTTCTAGTGGTTTCATTGTATGGCAGTAACGCCAACGGGGGTCAAAGCGCTTCCATTGCAGCAATGGACGCAAAACGTGGTCAGCAATCACACACTCATAACTAAACGGTTGCTTTCCAAAGTCGACGACGCATCGACCGAAAGAACTGCTGATGAAGAACAATGAGAAGGACCACACAATGGTTGCTGCCGAGAATACAGACGATCGCATGACACACATCGAGAGTGGTCGGCTTCTGTCGACAACCGAGTGAACACTGGAAACAATTTGTAGTGGTGTGAGTAAGGTTTTCACATGATTTCCCGGGAACAACAATTGTAAATAAACAAAGTTGGGACTTGGGAATAGACTGAAAGTTGCATCCTCAGCAGTCGTCTCCTCGGCAACTTATGTGACCATTATCGTTGTTTCTGAACAGTTTAGTATCATTTTAGTGAGCAGTTTTTCGATTTTAATAGTTTATCTTAAATGTATTCCCTCGATTTTATATCCTCAATTCAAGGACAACAAAATACAATACGAATACCCTTGCATTATCAATAAGGTTACACCTTTATACAAGGTGTCCCACCTTGACCAAGGAATCAAAAATATCTTCAAATGACAAAATCACAAGCGATCAACGAGGCGAACGATAATTGAAATGGAAAGCAATAATGATATAATCTTCTTCCTATTTTTTCATGAAACACAGCTCCTGTAACACAGCTCGCTCAGGCTAGTCGAAGGAAACGACCAAATTTTTGACAAGCTGCTTCACGTGAATATGTATAATTATCCTTCCACCACTCCGATCGAGCTGTGTTGCAGAGAGAGTTTGTCGTGGTAGTCGGTGCAAGTGTTTTGCCTGCATCGTTGGTTGGTTTATGTGTTTGGATTCGCTGATTCTGATCCTTGCTCGATGAAGTCGTAAAGGTCTATTTCCAAACTTCCCAAGTGTGTGTTGAATCCACCCAGATCGGTCAAAACGGAACCTACAAAAATCGGTAAGCTATGTTGGGAGTGACAAGTTGACAAATGAACAACATCGATTGGATTCAGGTTGATGTTGTCCATTTGTCAACTTCTCACTCCAAACTTAGTTTAACCACTTTTGCGAAGGGATTGTACCAGAATTTGCGTAGTTTTGAAAACGCGTGTATCTCAAGCTAAAAAAGACGAGTCAGTTCAAGCCAGGGATGTCAGATTTGTAGGCATGTCTTCATTTTGAAGACATTTGAATTTCTGTGAAGACATTTTCTTATCGCAGACATTTTGAAGTGTCAACATATTTTGTCTCACATATTTAGTAACGAGTGTTCACTCGACTGTCGACAGAAGCAAGCCACTCTCGATGTGTGCCACGCGATCGTCTGTTTTCTCAGCAGCAACCATTGTGTGGTCTTCCTCATTGTTCTTCATCAGCAGTTCTTGCGGTCCATGCGTCGTCGACTTTGGAAAGCAACCGTTTAGTTATGAGTGTGTGAGTGCTGACCATGTTTTGCGTCCATTGCTGCAATTGAAGCGCTCTGTATCCCGTTGGCGATACTGCCATACAATGAAGCCACGGCAAGCGGCTCCCGTTCTGATGGAGGAGGCTTTTTGGATAGCCGAAGATACAGTGTTTATTGCGTTGTACCTTTTGACTATAGTTTTAAGATGTATTGTATAGTGACCAAGAATCTCCTCGGCTCTGTAAAGTTAATTCGATTGAGCCATATGAAATTAATTAATTAAAAATTAGTAACAAATTAAAAATTCCAACAGTTTGAATATTCGAGTCACACAGTCTTGATGAACTGATATATTAAAATCTCTTCTTAGCATGAGAATTCATAAATTTTCAGAAGTTTCGAAATCATACTTTCCCGAACCTGGATCTTGACTATTCTAGGATCTTAACAATTTGTTTACATCTGTATCATCATGAATCCTACCCTGATTTTATTTTCAAGAATTTCTAAGAATCATCTTAGTATTTCTATAAAGTTCAGCTTGGCACTTGAACAGATTAGTTCGGTTAACAGTTCGGTGATTTTACACAGTTTTTCTGTAATTTTTCACTGATATTGTGTGAAAAATTATAGTGAAACTGTGAAAAATCACCGAACGTCGGTAAATTTCACAGAAATTTGTGAAATAATCTTAGTGTGTGGTATTCGTTTATTATTTTCTTCGTACACTCTAGGAATGGTCTGCACACTTTGTGAATTCCATTTCGAATCTTTCTAAAAATGCTCTTGCAATTTTCCTCAGCGTTTTAAAAGTATTCTTCCAAAGCTCCATTGGAATTATTAATTGAATTACTTTTGATTTCAGCTCAGGAATTCTTTGAAATGCTCCTCAGAATTTTCGTGTAATTCTCCATTGCGTTCCTTTGAAATTCCTTTGAGAATTTAAGAAAACTCCTTTGAATTCTGCTACTTTAGAATACTAAGAGCTCTCTTTATAATTAATTTCAAATACTCCTGGAATATCCCTCAACATTTCCATCAAGTTCTCCTCAGAATTAAATTTTCCTACTCAGAACTATATCTACCTTGGAATTCTCGTTAGCACATGGCTTTTAGTTAATTTGATTTAGAATTCTACTCATGGTCTTTTATTACGAATTCACAGGATTCTTTTGAAATTCTCCTAAAATTTCACCCCGAAGGTTTCTCATAGTTCCCATTAAATTTTCTTTAGCACTTCTTAATTATGAATTTATCTAGAATTCCCGTAAAGTCATACTTTGAACTCCCGTGGTATTTCGTTTTAGAATTCCCTTGGAATCATCCTAGAATTCACGTTTAGAATCCTCCTCAGACCTTGGATTCCGCCTTAGAATTAATTTGCTGCTTTCCTTGTAAATTCCTTAGAATTATTCTTCGCCAGGAATCAGGAGGATCTCAGAACTACCTTGGAAGAAATTCTTTGATTTTTTGAAGCTCTTAAGCTGAAATAATTCATTGAGATCTATCAATAGACTTCCCTTTATGTGCGTCTACAAATTCTTTAGAAATTTTCATCGAAATACTTTTGATAAAGCTACAAATGATGGTTCTTTCTTCAAGTTCGAGAAACTTGACATTTTTCCAATAATTGTTATATATATTTTTTAAATCTAGGATCGAGGATACGTTTCTGAATCGTCAGTATTCTTCCAAACTTGTATTATTATTATTTTTTCGAAATCGTCGATCTCGAAAAAGTTCTATCTTTGAGGGTTTTAGAATGGTGAAAATTCAAACCTCAGAATTTTGTTTGAGTCCCACAGTGTCGAAGATTCTGTTATTCATAACGTTGGCAGTCTTTACGACCCTCCTGCGTAGACAGTTGTTCATACAAATTACTTAAACAATTGTACGAACCGTAGACACTTGCCAAACCCACCTCATTCCTTAGCTGTCTACGTAGTTGATGGACAGCCACTTAGTAATGATTTATGAAATTGTTTACAAGGTGTGCTGGTGCGAGTGAACTTAAAACTGTACTAAAAAGTAAACCGCATAATGTAAACAGGGCGTCAGCATCTACCAGCATGAGCTTTCAGGAGCAACTGAAATTCGTGCTAGTTGAGCTACACACTTAGAAAAAATCATGTAAATGTAGGTGCTTTGAGACTGACATATACGAGCGTCAATTTTGACATAAAATTGAGTCATAATAGACACGCAATTCTACAAAATCAAACGTAATTTTCGTCGAGTAACGAAAATTTCAGTCTCGGAGCACTTAATTTTACATGAAATATTTGTTTACGTCTGATCCTTTATGTCAAAGATGGATTCCGTCACGTGTAAAGTTAGTTATTTCTAAGTTTGTAGTTTGCTATGCTGAACCAATATATATGCTCAGAAAAACAGACGTAGCTTTTTCTCCAAAATCGTCGTACACGTATTTAAGGTTCAATTTAAATATTATTACTTACGCGAATCTCTCACCACAGAGCTGGCATCGGACTTTGACTTCTCTATACATTCAATTGAACTTGTATGCGACATTTTTTGAGACTTGGCAAGCAAGTTTTTGTTACGTCTGTTTGTCTGTGATATATGTAAACACCCCATTAGTTACGAAGCAGAATCATGTCAGATTCAGCATCGAACAAATAAACTCACCCAGACAGCAGTTGTGAATAGAAATTTCCCTTACTCATTGTGCAAGAAACCTAAACTTGCCAGAACCTGGTCTGATCCCAGGTTAAAAAAAAGCAAGCTTCGCGTCCAGCTCCAGTAACATCGTTATCTGAGCAAGCTGTAGTGAGTCTGTTGTTGTCTGTACAGTTCCCTGCTAAAACCAAGTTTGAATCAGCAGTTGAAGCAGATCCGGTGTTTACATGTTTACTGGTACAGTACTAACAATAAGCTCAACCAGCTCAGCCAATTAACACGAATTGCAGTTGCTCCTGAAATCTCATGCTGGTAGATGCTGACACCCTGTTTACATTATGCTTACTAGATTTTAGTAAACTTTTAGTATAATAGAACCAGCAAGCCAGCACAAATGTCATTTAAGTAATAGCACAGACAAACAGACATAACACTCGCAAGTTTTTTTTATCGAACAAGCATTTAACGGACAATTTAAAATTATTGTAGTTGATAGTACCGCCACCTGTGGCGCGCATAGTCAATTAACTTGCGTTTGACGTTTACACACTTCCGCCATCTGTTCAGTGTAATGCCCACCAGTGTACTCTACAGATGGCGGTAATGTTTTAGCGACGATGTTTTACAGTGAGAAATATTCAATGAGTTATGTCTGTTTGTCTGTGGTAATAGTATGGACGTCTGTAAAAAGTTGTTCTAATCGAACCGTCAAAATGCACAGTTGTGCTCGATTGGAACAACTTTTTTCAGTTTTGTGGTGACAGCCGTCGATACTTTTAATAGAGAGCTTTAATGTGAACAACCCCATTACTTCCGACACTAGGGGCCCTATTATGTAAGTCGAGTCACTTCTGGTCACACTTCTGTAATACCAAAATAAACCGGTGAGCAGAAGCAACGCTCAACTCAACTTACATAATATGGCCTTATGTATGTATTGATGAATTTAAGTGACGATCAACCAGCAGATGGAAATGATGTGAAAATTGCAATGACGTTTTGCTATCTGTAGCATTGAATATTTTTTAGTACCAATGACGTTTATATAAGATCCGAACCAACAGGCAGCTTGCTGGTGTTAAGGGTCACCCACAATAGTCCGTCACCGTCACCGTCAACGCATCCGTCGTGTACTAAAAAGGCTGACGGACGCATTGACGCAGCGCTTTCGCACAATCATGCGTCACGCATTGCGTTTTGACAGTAGCATAATCTCGTTTAAATCATTTGTTTTGGTAGAAGATTTCATATTTAAAAAAAAAGTCCGAACATTCTGAATTTGGGAGGCGATTGGTGAATGGCGAGTTGGATTTGCAAGCACCGAGCAAGTTGCCAGGCCCAAATGAAGTGATGGCGTATTTCATTGTTGGGGGTGCTGCATTTCCTCTTAAGGATAACTTGCTCCGGCCATATCCAGGTGTTGACCTACCTCCAATTCAAGACAACTTCAATAAACGGCTGTCCAGAGCCAGGAGGGATGGTGATGGGAACGTCAGTGAACCTGGTGAATGGCGTACATTAGTTGTTCCTCTGAGATCTATTAACAGAGGCTCTTCAGAGAGGCAACAATGCGACACGATCTGCATACGTTAACCGAAATGTGTTGGCCAAACATGTATTCACACAATATTGTTAAAGGATATATAAAACATTGCAATAGTTTAAATTGTCTACAAAGCTATTTCACTAGTTGTATTTTATTCTCGATTTTATTGAAAAAAAATCCCTGACATTTGCTTGGGAATTGGGGTTGGCCCTTCTTACAAATGCAAATTCCTACTAACAATGTTTTCCATGATGTGTTCAAAGCAACATGGCACAACATACGCTTCTAATTACGCTGATGTGACAAAACAGCAACATGACGCACCGTCAATTTTGAAAATTTTCAATATTTAGCACAGCGTCAGCGTTTTAGTACTGGCGCGTAGTGAGCGCAACGCATCTTTGTGGGTTGCTAAACTGAACAGCGTTGGCTCAAACCAAGCTGTCAGTTGACGCTGACGGTGACGGTGACGGTGACGGACTATTGTGGGTGACCCTTTAGAATCAAAAATATTGCAAACATTGCGACGACATAACTCTACCATAACATTCCATACTGCGAACAGTGAGATTTACGACACTGCCAACAACTGTTTCATGTAAAAAGATAAACCTTGCAATGAAATACGAACCCCACTAAAAGCCTGGTACGCAGCTGAAAAGTAATGACGTTTTTATGTGCTACCGGATAGGACACGGAATGCAAAAGAAATTACTTTTCCTCAGCATTTCTTGACCCAGTACGCAGTTCAAAAGAAATCGGTAAAGGAAAGATCGATTACATTAGTATCGTGATCGACATGAAGGTGGCGCATTCTGAATGCAATTTCACTTTCCTTGCGGAATAATGGGCTGATCAATTATTCCGTTAGGTAATGTTGGCGTTTATTGCAAAACTGATGTTTTGGATGCATTTAAACAACATAAACACTAATAAGTGTTGATTTTACAATTTGACGACATCTCCCTATAATCTCAAAATTTAGCAGACTATAGCTGTCAAATTTTCTTTTGGGAAAAATCCTCAAAAATTACTTTTCCGTTTTCTTTTCAGCTGCGTACCAGGCTTAAACAGTTGCACATTTCACTAACACCATACGCCTGTTGGCCCGGACCTTATATAAAGGACATTGGTTTAGCACATCATCAGTTTTGTAATTGCAGATCTGAAAACTAGGTGACGACGCATGACCAGTTTTAGCATTGCTTAAACTCATCAATAACGTATTGTCGAATCAAAGCAAAGCCAAAACTGGTCATGCGACACCTAGTTTTAAGATCCGCAATTACAAAAATGTTGATGTACTAAAAATATATATCATGCGATTTGACAAATATCAACACGTCATTACCATTTTCACCTACTCGCCATCTGTGAGTCAATCGTCACTTTGATTCTTCAATACACGGATAGAAATCTCCTTATACCTTTTGTCAAATTTCTATTGCTGATAAAATGTATAAGTCAACTAATAAGCAGACGCCTTGCAAAAAGTTAATGAAGATCATATGTCAAATGAAATGTATAAACGGTCACACATACCTTTTATGCATTCTTATAGGACCTATGTGGTTTGTCTTATGGAATGTATAAGGCTGATGTTTTGGCAAAAATTTATAAGTGAAACTCATGAATAAAATTATTGATTTTCGTTTCGTGTAGAAAGAGAGTAAATTCGATTTTCGCTAGTGGGTTTTTCCAGTTTTCAGCTGTTACGGAAATATTGTGTCTACCAAGTACATTTTGTGTTAAGTTTTTTGAGCATACTGTACTATTTTCCAAACAGTCAAGGAGCTGTTCATAAACTACGTAGACAGTTTTTGAGAGGTTTTAGACCCCACCTGCTCCCGCGTAGACTATCTTCCATACACATGTTTGGACATTTCTAGATAGAGCTGGAATTAGGGCGTAACAGCTTTTTGATGATTTCTCGAAAGACATGACTCTCCCTGGCAAATCAACATTACCATCGAATAGGGGAAGACTTCCCCCACCCGATGGATATGTTGGTTTGTGTAGGCGGGCCTTGAGTTGCTAGAAATCAACGAGAGAAGTAATTGTTTACAAAAGCTGGTACGCCCTAATTCCAGCTCTATCTAGATTTGTTTGCCAAACCCCTCACCTCCTCCTTAAACTACCTACCAGATTTATGAACAGCCTCCAGCAATCAACTTCAGCCCCACTCTCCGCAGATCCGATCACAACATATTGTCTAACACATACACACTATAATACAGCATAGAATAAAAACACATAAGCTTAGCACTACAACCGGGCACCGATGGAGCACGTCACCGGAATTCACGATCCGCTTGGTAGCCATGGTCCGGATGGAAGTGGAAGTAAATCAAATACCGTCTCAACTGCCGACAGGCACGGGACCTCATCTTCAGCAGGTGCCGAAAGCCGGACGCGTGCACCGTTTCATTGTCGATCTCGTCCAGATAGTCTTCGACCAGAAAGTGATGATGACTTACTTTGAATCCCCGGTGCAGACGGTCCTTCATGATGGCGATGAATTCCTTGTACGACAGCAGTCCGTCGCCGTCTTCGTCGAAGATGGCAAATACCGTGTCGATCAGGTGCTTGTTCAGCACCGATCCGGTGCAAATCTTGACGGCACGGGAAAACTCGTCTGAAAAGAAGCGGGAGATTCGGATCGCTGTTGGATGGACACATGACCGAGCAATACCTTTCGAAATTGGTTGATCAGCAAGTGTGTACATTCTCATTGCGATGGAAAAGTCATCCAGATTGTTCAGAAACTGGCAGAACTGACGGAATTCGTCGAACGAAACTCCCTTCTCCTTGGCTTCTCTATCCAGTAGACGATCCAAGTAGTTGTCGTATTCGTCAGTATCCTAAATTTCAATGATTACTATCAGACAAAATTTCCCAATGCAACACCCGAATACTCACCAAATAAGTGTATCTCAGCAGAATTTTGGCGAAATCAACCTCGGAAATACGTTCGTGTCCCTTGGAGAACTCGCAAAATTCCAGTTCCAGGACTTCCGTTTGAAGATTCTTCATAAAGTTGTAGAACCCATCGTACTGCAGATCCTGATTGCCCTTTTTGCCGAAAAAGTGAACCTGCAGCGTGGTGTCGACCTTGTGCTTCCTCTGGAGACCTTGCTCGTCGTCGACGTAGTCGTCCTGAAGAGAATTCGGAAAACAGCTTCCATGTTGCAATAAATGTTCATCAATAAGACGTGCACTGGACTTACGTGTTCACCCGCTTCTTCACCTTCCTTGGGCTCGATGCCACGTTTTCCCTTCCAGGCAAAGCTGAAAATCTTCTCCATCTGTGTTGAATAGTTGAAGGTAGGGCAGCAGTAAACGATACAAACAGATCGAAACATGGATGTGATGGATTAGTTATCTGTACTTTGAAAATCTTTCGAATGATAACGTGGATGACATTTAATTTTAATCAACAGTGCAAAAGTATACCCAATAACTAGCCCGGTAACCATAGATTGCTGCTTATTAATGACTTTCACCAAATAGAGTTCACTCAACATGATGCGGTTCACGATGCACTGCTCTTGTGGGTTGGTTCATATTGTACAAAAAATGGCTTAACAATTCTGGATAGGGTACCTAAATACATACACGAACAGGCTCCTGCCACATTCACAAGAAATAGTTGTTTGTTGCTTTAAAATGATATAAAAATGCTTTTAAAAAGTATGTGAATAATTTGGGTAGACATTTGTGAATACTACTTTGGTGACTGTAGTGTGGTATTGTTAGTTCGTGATTTTGTGTGTGAGTTAAGATTGATGTTAGTGGTATTGATGTGGAGATGATCCATGCTTAATTGCTCATTTCGAATTGTGCTTGATTGTGCATATTGTGATTTGAAATGGATCACATCTTTCGAGCAGTTTAAAATGACGTTTCCAACCACTCGAACTGTGCCGTGAAAAATCTGGAATTTATAGTCTTAAAATCGCGGCTCGGCAACATGATTAACTATGTTTGAAGGAGTTTATTACAGCTCTTTTATAATGGTTCGTCCATTTATTTAGACTTTTGCGAAGTTAAGTTTTGCACGAATATACTGTAACATTTTATTCTCAATTTGACAGTCAATTTTGATTAGACGCTGACGTAGCATTGTGGCTCTGGCTTACTGTAGACAAAAGTATTAGAACAAATTTATAATAAAGGGTGGAACGGTCAAGGACAAAAACCCTCCAAACTGGCCAGAGCTGCATCCAATTTAAAAATATTGAGCTATAGTTAAGCGGAACCTCAAGGAAACTCAGAAAACAGTTAGAAATGAGAAACAGTTCAAAGTAAATTGATGTTCAGCATCAAATAAGGTTGATACAACAGCGGTACAAAATCTGATGGAAGGTGTGTTCGCATTTGGAAAATCGGAAGCCTAATCAAATAATATTCCTGTATTTTGTAGTCATTGAACTTCAAAAAGAAATAAAGTTTGATCATTTATACAATAACATAATCAGTGTGCAATTAATCATGATTGACCAATTTTTGACCGTTCCACCCTTTAGGTCTGCTCCCGTACTTGCTTTTCTGTAAGATTCTGTACAGCAAAAAACAAAAGCATGTCCTCGTACTTGCTGCACCATATTATTTTCTTACAGAAAGCTGCAGCAACCTACAGCAATAATAAAAATAGCCAAAATGATTTCATAGAAGTTTTAAACATATCTCTAATTTTATGATGTTATTAAGAAAAAAAAAAAATTAAAACGTTCGACATTTTACATATTTGAGCCCCAAAGTCTTATCAACTTAGATATTAAAGTCATGAGAATTCACACATTTTTCGAAGTCTCGTAATTTTAACAACTTTTCCAAACCTGGTACTTGGTTTTATGTGTTTTTAGGAAATATCTTGAAACCCAGGATTTTTTTCAAGAATTTCCTTATAATTATCTTAGTATGTCCTCAAAATTCATCTTGGCACTTTCTATGTATTCCCTTTTTATTTTCAAAGTGTTTTTTATGTTACTTCATACGCGAAGTTAACGATTTTTAGAGTTGGTTGGAAATGCTAACATGAAGCTTTAGTGTGATGATTTATTAGCTAGAGAATGATCTTTAGAAGAATGTAGGTGGATAGTTCCGTTAGAGTACGGCAGTATGAAAATTGAATAGAAGTTGAAAATGAGCGAAGGGCCATTAAAGCGACAGTTTTCAAGATGACGCACAATTTTGCCTAGCCCGTACGATGTACGCGGGGACTTGAAGTATGTCTCCAAGTCCACAGGCAAAAATGTGCGTCATCTTGAAAACTGTCGCTTTAATGGCCCTTCGCTCATTTTCAACTTCTATTCAATTTTCATACTGCCGTACTCTAACGGAACTATCCACCTACATTCTTCTAAAGATCATTCTCTAGCTAATAAATCATCACACTAAAGCTTCATGTTAGCATCCTTTTTATTTATTTTTTTCATAACACTCTTGGAATTCTAAATTGAAATCTTCTCAAAATTCTCTTGGAATTGTTCTCTGCGTTTTATAAGTATTCTCCCATCCAATTCCCATATACATTTCAAAGGGCCAGTGCAGGATGAGTTCGTATGCAAATGAGTTCAGATTTTGGGAGTACTACCTGATTTGAAAGCGATTGTGATCGGTGGAGCAAAATCCGTATTTTGAACCACCCTAAAAATGTTTCCAACTCAATACTCAACGATTTTCATAAAGTTTTGAAATCTTAGATTTTAGGAGGAAAGGAGGGTTGACTTAAAATTTTACAAGGTCTTATAAGGGGGGAATTGGTGGTGACCCCTTATCACACTTCGCAATTTGAAGATTTACGAGATTTATAAATCTGTCATTTTCGAACATTGCTTGCTTCTTCACAGCAAACAACAAGTAGTAGTTTGTGCTACGTGGATTTAAAAAAAAAAACATAATATTTTGACTTGTGGCACTACGAAGTGTAGTTCGAAAATTGATGCTGCAAGGAATCACTTTTAAATACTTCACCGAATTCCTTCGAAGCTCTCTGTTTAATTTACTGCGGAATTCTTCTCAAAATTTCTATGGAATGCCCCTAAGAATTCGTTTGGAATTATCCTCAACATTACCATCAAGTTTCCTCAGAATTATTCTAGAATTTTACTCAGAACTTCAAATAAATTCTCCGTAGAACATACTTGAAATTCTTTCAGCTCATTTGAATTATAATTTTCCCCATGTTTTCTTGGAATTTAATTCAGATGTCATTCACAGTTCTCTTCAGAATTCTATTGAAATTCTACTTTTAATCCCAAATTCTCCGCATTTCGTAAGCAATTTTTTTAAACTAAAATATTTTTAAGATTATGCTTCAAAGCACCGTAGAATTCCCTTTTCAAAGTTCCTTGGAATTAATTAAATGCTCTCATCACAATTTTCTTAGAATTACCCTTAGATTTCACCACGAATCTAGAGGTTCTCAGAGCTACCTTGGAAGCAATCCTTATTTTTTTCTTGAAGCTCTCCTAATAACTACATTTGAATACTCCTCAGAATTCATTGAGATTAATCCCTAGAATTCCGTTCTGTAAATTCTCTTTGAAATAATGTTTATAAAGCCAAAAGTTCTTGCAGAAAAGTTAATGATATTGAAAATGCAAGCCCATGTTGGAGGTGGGTGGGTTTGATTCCCGGAACCGGTCTAGGAATTTTTCAGGTGGGAAAATTCCTCGAACTCCCTGGGCTAGAGTATGATTGTACGAAATAAGCTAATATGCGATAAGCAATAAGCTTGAAATGCGAGGAAGAAGAAGAAGAATAAGAATAATAAGAATAAGACATTGCAAATTTTCCATTAATTATTATGTTTCGTTTAAAATCTTAGATCGCAGAAAATTGTCAAAGTCCGGCTAAATCTTCGTTTCAGAATCTTTCAAATTTCTACAAGCTTGAATGCCTTTTTATTCAAGGTCCTGAATTTCGACATTTTTTCTTACTTGTAGGGTTTTAAAATGTGATCAAATTAAAACTTAGTTTTTTTTAGTTCCATATTCTTGAAGATTCATTTGAGTCCGAAATCTGTTCTTGATCTGAATTAATTTTTAAAATAATTGCAATTCCAATTTTTGCTCTCAAAAGTAAGGATTTTAAAAATCTGTCAAGATCTAAGACATTAAAAACTTGTCTAGGACTAAGATAATTTACTGCGATTTTAAGTCCTTAAAGTACGTAGACAGTTTCCAAGAGATCTTGAACCCCTGCTTAGATAGTTGTTCAGTAAAAAATATGCCACGACCGCCCCCTCCCCCCCCTCCCCGACCCACAGTGGGACCAATCTGAAAAAAGAAGGTCAAAACCCTTTTCTCCCTTTTCTAAATGTTTTAGCGTTTAGGGGAGTAGTACACTCTGTAGCTTTTGAAAAATCGATTTTTTTGGGCTTAACAGATTTTTTTGAATGTCTATTTTATGTGAAAATTTACCCAAAGTCTGTCTGACATTCCGTTCGAAAGTAAACCAAGTAACCAAAAGTTCCGCATTCAACGATAAAACTCACTTCGGCAGTGCATAAAGTGCATATAAAGTGCCAAAACAACTTTCTGGCTACTTTAGAAGCTATAGAAAGCACACGAGGAACTTCAGGCTCCGAAAAGTTCCGATGCGTACTCCTAGCAACTTTAAGTTCAAAAAAAGTTCCAAAAAGCATCCCTGAGCATTTTTTAGGAACTTCAAGCAAGGCTGAAAACATGGGTACAACAAAGTGTCGATCAAGCTCCCAGCGGAACTTCTTAGCAACTAAGAAGTATCTTAAAAGTTCCCTGTGGAACTTCTTAGCAATTTGAAAGCTTCTAAAAAGGTCCGTCATAGCCCACATGAAGCAATCCGCACAAGCTTTTATTAGTAACAAAATTTAATGTACGTAAATATGAAATGATCAGTGGCTCAAATAAATCATAATTCTTAAATTTATCTAGTGCATCAATATTCTATACAAATATTAAAACACAATTAAAGAGCAATTTCCTGGATTCGAACCCGTGTATTCGGCTTGTGATCTACGAACGCTAACCACTGCGCCACAAGGGTGTTGGAATACCATGCGGGCAAACACCAATTTAAAATTCATCAAGGTATTGTTTTTCCTATTCAAGTCAGTCAGCTGGCATTGAAAACTCCAAAAGTAGACGGGACAACAGCTTTTTTAATATATCTCAGATGACGTAACAGTTCGTGCTGGGACTCCTAAACTGAAAGACTGGGTTTAATTCTTCAAACATGCTGATCATAAAGACCTGACTTTAGAATTAACTTTCATAAAAGTGCGAACTTAACACAAAATTTGTGTAGAGGACAAAAACCT